CATGAAATTGGCGATCAGAGCACCGGCAGATAATATCAGGGACAGTATGAGGTGATTGCCTAATAAATAGTTGGCATTACTGGTCAGCCATATGATGAATGGTGTGTCAAATATGGCGGACACGCTGTACCGCAACATAACCAATAGTGAGGCGAGTTTGATGAGCCGGGACACCCTAAGCCTCTTGGTGTATGTCTGGCCAGTGATGTACTGGTCAAACGTGGGTGATATCAAAAAGTACGTGTCGGCCATAAACCGCTCCCAGCGCTCAAAACTAGCCGTTTCTGAGGCCCGGATGTGATTCAAATGATCAGAATTTATCATTTGTTTGTGTATTTTATTCATATTTATAGCGAATAACAAATGTTTTAATGAATTCTTAGATGCCATGGTTAGCGCAGAATATTCTTGAAGTAATGTTTGTAAATGTTATAATGTGTTTGATAATTGAACACAATTTTTTAGTATTTTTTTACTTAAATAACAACATTTTAGACTTTATGTTAGACACTAGTATTGAGTTTAAAAAACAATTAATAAATCGATAAACTAATTATGTTTATTAGCCAACGATATCATGTGATTTATGTTTTTATTTTCGTAGTATAGTCAGAATTTTATTCATTATATCACGTAAACTACACATAATTTTAAAAAACAATTAATAAATCGATAAACTAATTATGTTTATTAGCCAACGATATCATGTGATTTATGTTTTTATTTTCGTAGTATAGTCAGAATTTTATTCATTATATCACGTAAACTACACATAACTTTTCTATTAAATATTGTCATAAAATTATGAATCATACAATAATACAGTATAAAAATTTATAAGTATAAAGTTAAGTATTGTTTGACAGGTATTTCTTAATAATTAAAACTATTTAAGTATACCTTATATACGATAAATAACTACAGTACATTATAATGTACTAGTGTAAATGATATATGCGGGAAACTTGATATTATTTTTAAAATTCAAAAATAAATTTTAATGTCAAAGTAAACGCAAATTACACATTAATCTTATTGTGCAAAATTTTGATAAATGATTTTAAGTTTAATTGTTATTCTTTAATTTTAATATTTAATTTATAAATCAAATAATTTTTATTCAGAATGACTCTGGGTCTAAGGTCAAGACAGTTATGGCCAACGCAGGTACCGGCACATCGACCGTCAACACCGGGACTTAACGCTTATCCATCCAATAGGGTTTAGCCGACTATTTGTGTATACAAATGAATTTTAAACTTTTCAAAATTTCTTCACTTTCTTAATTATAATTTTAAAATTTTTCGTAAAAACTAAAACTTTTTTAAAATCAAAATATTTGTGTAAAAACTTACAGTCAGTACACGGCTAGCAGACAGGCTTTCCGCACGTCCGGTGCCTCATGTTTATGGAGCTCTGCGCCGGAGATTTAGTGCAACTGTTGGACAGATTCAAGACTATTACGCAAACCCTGGCCTACAAAGTGATGGCCGACTGCACGGCTGGCCTCCAGTACCTCCATAACCTCAATGTCTGTCACCTGGACATCAAAATACATATTATTTATGACTCGCGCGAGCACCGGGGTCGATATTGGGGATCTGGTGGTCATCTTTGGACAGGTATATATGACGTTACCCATGAACTCATGCTGTTTACGACATATCTCTTAATTAACACTATTTCGCTTACTTTGAAAAAGCATTTCAAAAAAATGTACACAAATTACAAGACTTTTAAAACTTTTTCAAACAATTATTGCCGAAATACTTCAAAACTCTTCGCAAAACAAACCACACTCTGATCGACACTATCGCACCGTTACCCCAGTTACTGCCCTCACTCTGACCACTGATTAGACACACGAAGCCATGGGTGACAGGGATTCGGACACATGCGGTATGATCCCCAGGGCCAGGGCGGGACCTACAGGTGGGGCCGTATTGAACCGACCGGTGGTACGACTGACACAACCAGTAGTCACAGCACCGACACCTCAACCGCAGACCAAAAAACGTTTAAAAGTAACTTTTGAATTAAATTAGATAAAAGATAATTTAATTGAAAATTTACTAAAAACAGTACTTTATATCTAATAAGTTGTTTCACACAATATTTCTTTTATTAAACAAGTATTGCTTTCAATGTTATATAATTTATAAAACAGTACATTGCGCTTATAAAGTTACAAATCATTTTGTAGCTATTTATACAGTATGTTCAAATATTTTACGATCAAAATTACTTTTATTAATTGAATTACTTAATTACAAAAAAAACTACATTTGTATGACACGTGCTAAACAACTTTGAGTTTGTCAATCATGGCTCGAGTTTGGACAGCATTGGGAACTATTGGATAGTATCCCTGCTCTGAGACCCCGCAGTTGTTTACCTTACTCCTGGAGATCCTGATAAACCCGCCCTCTCCCCACTCCGGGCCCCAACTTTTATCCAAAAAACAAATTATTTAGCATTTATTTAGCGTACGCTTAGAGCGGAACGACACCTATTTTTGATGATAAAGTAGTCTTTATGATAGCCGATGGCTACGACCGCGTGGTTCACGTCATTGGGGTTACACTTGGGGTCATTGAAAATGCCTTTCCTAATGGAGAGATACACAAGAATACCGGTGCCAATGAAAACCCACTGAAATAGGCTTTCCCTTTCCACTCACTTAAAAGCAAGCATATCATCGGTGGTGTGCACTGCGATGGCAACGGGTCCGTAGTTATAGATGGCGGCCGCCAAGTCGTTGTCCTTTCCGGACTCCAGGCGCTGCCCTTCCCTCACGTCTACGTCCACCCTATTGGCGGCGTTGTAGCCGCACTTGTCTTTCTGGTGGTGATGAGCGATACAAGTCATATAACTTTCGCTTTAATCATGTCTTTCACGGGAGACATACCTTTCCGGTGTACGGGTAGACATCCACTCCGTTAATGCCTTTGTTTTCGTACACATATTTGAACGCTTGCTGAGGCATACCTACCAAATGAGCGGGTGATGGCTATTATATATATCACCCTTTCATGACTATATCGACAATACAGACCTCCCTCGCAGGCAAGAGTACCGTAATCTCCGGAGCAGTCGATCATATTCTGCTCGCTGACTGTGATCTTCGGTTGACTCTTGGGGTCAAACTTTCCCTCCGCTATCAGTCTCTTCATGTTATGACCTGAAAGAGGGTATCATTTAATACACAAAACAAAAATCTTATATATTATTAGGAAAATGTGATGAAAGGACAGACTCTCGAGCACACAGGCGGCCGCGAAACTCCAACACGAGCCACACTTTCCCTGGTGTTTGATAGGGGTGTAGATAAGGGTTACATGAGATTTATGTATACAATAAAAAATATATATTATAATAATAGGTGTGAATAATCACTTGATTCCTGGGAGGGGTCACCATCCCATACTTCCTCCAATCCCACTCGTCCGGTATGTTTGATGATCCCGGAGCCGCGGCTGTACTCAATGTGATACAAATACTAGTTATAATCATAAAGCCCTGTATGAATAAAAGTGTGCTGGATATACCCTTGAGTATACGGTCAACGTGAGGTGGAAGGCAATTGGGATCACCCCCTCCATCCCGTAAGAGCCCTAACTTGTACTTCACTACTTCGGCCCAAGTCTTAAGAGTGAAAAACATATACAGAGTATAAGTACATAGAAGTGGGAACTGTATGCTTAATATAGCCGACCAGATCTGACAATTCATTGATCCCTTTCTGGTAGGTAGCCATGGTGTTGTTGTTGTGCTCCTGGATCTTCTCAATGGACTTCTTGAACAAATCCAGCCTTTCCTCCCGTTCCTTCTCATTCGCGTACTCCTTATTAAACGATTTCTAAATGATACACATATTAAACACTAGGATTAATGCCGTTAAATGGAAATGGATATGGACTGAGAGGACTGAGACGTGAATGGATGTGACAAACCTGATATCTGTCATAAAATGGCTGCACTTGTGTCTCATTTTTAACATCCAGTTTCGAGACATCATAGTTTAAAACCTCCGTTAATGCTGTCATTAATGAACACAATTAAGTATATCTTAAATATGAGTGAATGGACTCATTATCATAAACTACCAAACCTTTGAGCCTTTCAGAAACGATAGGACCAGTAATAGTGGTCTCGACATTAGGGGCGCCAGTAGTAGCCTCCGATGGCAAAGGGACAGGCAGTCCAGTGGTGTTCAGCAAAAGATGTCCTTTTCTTGTGAGGAAAGCCTGAGCTCTCCTGGCCAGGAAAGCCTGTGATTTTTTCTTGGCCAGAATAAACTGTCCTTTTTTGGCCGTCATATTCTGTTCCTCTATCTCCGGGAAGGGTAGTTCACTCATTTCCGGGAAGGGCAGTACATTCATGTCCGGGAAAGGCTGTCCTTTGGTGTCCTCACATTCCGTCGGATTTATGGTAAATAGTATTGATATGAATACGAGACACACAACTGAACACTTCATCGTGTATTCACCATATGTTTGGTATTTAATTAAAAAATAGATAATTTAAAAATCATTTTATTAGTGCCAACTGTATGTGTAAGATATTAATTAATTAATTAATTGTTATTTCAACCCGCCTATCACTAACTTAATTATTGTATTTAATAATCAAAAAATTAGATAAAATAACTTTTATTTTTGATTTACTATATTAAATATCTAAATATAAACTATATTAAATATAAACTCATCAATAGTTCATAAATAATATCAAGAATAGTTAATATTTTATGAATAAAAATACATTTTGTATTAATTAAATCTAATTGATTATTTAATTAAACTAATGGATTAATTTATAAATTATTTTATTAATAATTTTCTTTATAATTTATTTAACAAGTTGTTTACACAATAATTTTTTATTAAGAAGTATTGATACCATGATTTATAATTTATAAAGCTCTATATTACAATACTGTAACAAATTATATTTGCAACTATTTATACAGTATGTAGGAATATTTTATGATTAAATTAAGCACTTATTTCCTGATGTAAATCATTTAAAACATTAATTAATAAAAATTTTCAATTTATATAAAACACAAATGACTAATACTTAAATATTAATATAAAATTAGACATCAATTTTTTAAAACAAATAATAACATAACATTTTATTTTTAGCACAATGTACTTTAATAATTTTGTGTTTCAATTCAATTATTACAGTCGAAACACAATAATTAGTATATAATAATCATTGATAAACATAACTCCTGTATAATTATATCTCATATCTTGCTGCTAATAAAATTTGTAACAAATAAAAAATTTATTTATATTTTCTGTCCAAAGGATACCAAATCAACACATTGGGATATTCATTATTATCTTCTATACTACGTGCTATAGTCATAAATCTTTAAAATGTTGCTTGTTTAGTCATACAAATATATGATTTCATGTTGAAAATAATACAGTATGTTTAACATTTTAAAGCTTTATGACTATAGCACGTAGTATAAAAGATTATAATG